TCTCCGCGGCTGAGAGCGTGTGGGCCGGGGCCGCAGCCGTGCCTCGCGTGGCAGCGCAAAGTGGTCACGGGCTGGAGAAAGCTCAGTGGACATCGGGAACCCGTGGAGCGGGACCTCCCATCGCAGACGAGCGGGTACCGCCTGTGATGGTATTGCGTAATGGCATGCCATATGTGGAAAATATGTTTGCTATAACGCTAAAGTAGACTCGCCCACTCAGTGCGTGCGAAGCGAGGAGGGACTCTCTTGCAACGGCAACACAATGAACAACAAAAGCATGAGAAAATAGTGTTGCTCGTTTGTTTCAGTCCCACCAAGCATCACAGAAGTTGACTGCACATGACCAGCGAACATTAAACAGCAGACCCGACAATACACACAAAAGAATGTATACCTGTTGAAAATAGTTTATACATAAGAATTATATGCCATTTTAAGCCATCTAGCAAGAAGTTAGCTCCTTTCATTTAAGCTGCTGTAGTGGTGCCCCTCTGATTCGGAACAAAACAATGTTCATATCGGCAAAGCCTCTTTGGTCAAAAGATGGCTTACATTTGTTCCACATTTTAGATCGGTGACGTGAAATGCAGTGGAATTTTGTGTGTGTGTAGGGGGCGGCAGGGGGGTTCTCTGTGCCCCCCCCCCAAAAAAATTGTTCAAATATATTGGGGGGAAAAAGGTAGGCAGGTACTGAATTGTATTTTCCAGTGTCATGCAAAAATGAATTTCTGATTAATCAATGGGACAAGAAAGACAGTAAAATGATACAATACGCGTTTGAAAAAATGTGGTAGTGTCAGCCATAAGAGTTGACTGTTGGGCCTTGTCGCGAACCGAAACATCAGCTCCTCCCTATATAAGTGTCAAGAGTCTCGGTGAATTCAGTTGTGGAGTCTTATTGTCTGCCATGTCTATGTTATGAGTTGAATTCCTTGTACAGTATTAAAAGACTATTTTGAGATACGGGGACACCTGGGCACCTGGTCCCTTCTGTAGTTAAGTATTTAAGCTAACCCAAATTCTTCGCTAAAGGGTAAATTCTTTCTTGGTAACTCCACTAAAAAGCAATGGAGCATCCAGAATTATTTTTGCTGTGCTATTTTTACTTTTCTATCATTTAAGAGTAAAATCTTAGCTCCGTTAACATCCAGATTGTAAACGGCCAATTACTGTTTTTTTTTTGTTGTTGTTTTTTTTAAATATGATACAAAGGCAGCAAAAGGAATTGGAAATATGCAATAAAGATGAAGCTGCATCCATCACATTTCTACTGCCTGCAGGGAGTGGAATTCCTGGCAGGCTCGCTGCCTTTCGGATGACTCCAGTGTCTCCCTTTTTTTCACTCTAATGGAGAGCACCGTTTATCGCAAAAATATCGAGGCTTTTAGTTGAAGAGACTCATCACCGACGGATAACTCATTAAGTTTTATTCCGTCACCAAAATGGATCGTTTTCGAATTTGTTGTCAGATGTCTCAAGCAGAATCCGTCTGCTCGGTCTCAAGCAAGTATGCGTTTCCATAAGAGCACACGTGACACACTGGCCCACACCCGCCTGGTCAAACAAAAAGAATGCAGAGGAGGATTTGGCTTTGCTTTCTTTCTATCTGTAATTGCTCCCCACTGCTTGTGACAAACAGATATTAGTGTCTTTTACCTTTTGTGCTCGCATGTCATCCACTCCTTAACCTTTTCAGTCTTTATTTGTCTCGGCTCTTCTCCGCCATGAATATGTTAATGAGAGCGACGGGCTCTCTGTCAAGTACAATTGTCATCAACATATCCATGTCCTCGGAGAGCGGCGAGTGTCACTGGGAAAGGGAGAGCAGCCGCCGTTATAAAATATTGAATTGCTCTTCCGCTGTTACTTTGGGGTTGGGCGCATGAATCTCTCCGACCGTTTGCAGTTTATAGTTCTATAAACATGTCGTATGTCCATATTGTGGTCTGTGATTTAGATAAGGAGTGAAAGCGTTGTGGAAACATGTAGCGTATTTTCGCGACCATACGCGTATCACATTAAAGGCCGCAGTCTCAGTTACCGGTGCTTTTTCTGTATTGAATACAAACATTCGGCGTCCCATATTAATGGACGCAGGCATGATAAAACATACGCTAGCACGCAGCGGGAGCAAAATTGAGTTCGGTTGCACTTTAGTGAAGTATTAAACAATATGAAAAGTGAGTGCGCTTAGTACTTTATTGAAGTATTGAACAATGTGCTCATGGTATTTTTTTGATCAATACTCATCCGCAAATTCATCAAAGTCCTCATCTTCTGTACCCAAAATGAGCATCTGGGTGAGTTTTCCGTCAAACACGGCAGGTTCCCTCTCGTCGTTTTCCTGCTTCCTTCACTTGCCAACCACCGATTCGTTGATCTTGAATTCTCTCGCGGCTGCTCGTTTCCCATGTGCCTCCGCAAAACGGATAACTTGCAGTTTAAAATGTGCTTGTAAACGTGTCTCTTCGTAGGGGCCATTTTCGGGGGTCCTTAGCCCAACCACTGTTGTTTTGCACAATGCGCATACCGGCACTATAAAACTACTGGCTTTGAGCGTCCTCTTTCACACGCGCCCTTCCGCCTTTAACATCCGTCTGCTGTCCTCGGTCACGTCCGCTTTTCCTCTATATAAACTGCGTGTCGGCAGGAAATGCCCCCATTCGGTCAAGCGGCGCGCTCATCCAAGTCACACAACAACATTCACAGATTTTGGAACTTGGTGCAGACGTTAAGCGCGCCGCATTATAAGGCGCCCCCGGTCTGTTTTGGAGAAAACGGAAGACTTTTACGTGCGCCTTATGAAAATACGGTAACTATACCTAGCTAAGCAAATCAAAAGTAAATATCAGTCCTTCATAAGAAGCCATTGTCACATTGACATGTAAGTCTATGTGTAAGACGCCGCTAAAACAATCAACGTCAAACTTAAACTGTCCACGCGGTCATTTGCAGTTCATTGGTGTGTCAGTCAACCAAAGCGTGACACAGACTGCTCCCTCATGTCGTTTGAGTCTTTGTGTTTTGTGCCTGCACATGTTTTCCGAAGACTCCAGTTGGGCCCGTGTCCCCATGCATCCTGCAGCAGGCAGTTTGGCTCATAAATAGCACACTAAATGGTAAATGGGCTGTCACTCATGGAGCACTTTTCCACCTTGGGTACTCAAAGCGCTTTCCTCATTTACCTACCGATGACACCGCATCAGGAGCAACCGGGAGTTCAATGTCTTGCTCAAGGACACTTGGACAAGGTCGCAATGGTCAGGCATTGAACCCCCAATCTCTGGGTTGGGAGACGGCCACTCTCCCACTGAGCCATGCCGCCGCCAGTCGCATTCGTCACCCCGGCGTTTAACCCACGCGATGCTGGGGCACGTCTTTCCAGCCAGACACGTTCAAAATGGCTGCCCGGAGTTCCTGACTGTCCCCCTGCCCTTGTCTTTGTTTACACGGGTGCTTTAAATGTGTAATCCCCGTGTAATTAAACGTGACTCCGTTGATGGCACTCTCGCCTTTTTGCACAGGCGCCGGTGCAGCGGAGTGAGTAAGCGCATGTGACTTGTGTTTTACGAATTTAATGCGTCCGTGTCAAGCCTCATCGTCGTAGCTCAAGAGACGAACAGTGGCGTCTTTGTCATGGCAAACTTACACTCCTCGCGCCGCCATTGTTGCACTAAAAGCAATATCACATTTGAACGCGTGCGTCTCATATCTCGTCGTTTTAATCTTATCTTTATGCATGGCCGCCCGCCCCGCTTCTCTCCGTTCTTTCTCTTTTAATTTTGGAAGAGGAACCCCGTTGGATTATTTCAACACATTTTGCCTTGATCCCATTGGAAGGCAGTTCCAAGTGGAGGGGATTACCTCCGTTTATCCCTTTTCCTTTTAGTACAAAGTCACAAAGCAATTCAGAAAACAAAAGGAGCCCCTGATATTTGCACACAACCTCGCCTAGCCTCTGAACTCTTCAATCCCGCCGCAATTTTCCGTCAAAAGCTCCCTTTTAGCCTGTCATAGCTGACATTTTCCCGCAAAAATGAGGGCGACTAAGTCGACATGGCGGATGCTGGCTGTGCGAATGGGAATTTTGCAATGCCGGTACCTGGATGTCAAGTAACATCCAACGCTCATTTCTCCCGCCCTGTTGTGCAAACAAAACTAGACTCCCTGGTCACCTATTCTTGAATTTTTGTATGTGGGGCCACGTTTTCCAGTCCCGTTCCTACGGCCATGGTGCCACCCAAATTTGCGGGAGGCTTATCGTTTCGACAATCTATCACCAACACGTCGTAAACTGCAGTAAATATTTGTATGAAAAAAAAAACCACTTCTTGGCCACACATAAAAAACAATGAAATGAAAAACAGAAAGTGCAGCAGTAAGTGCCTGCTTGTGCGTCATGAACACCGTGCAAACTGTTTCATTGTGCATCGTTGGTTACCTCAGAACGCCGGCACAGCCATAAATCCAGGTTCCTGCCCTGTAATAAAACGTTATAACGATATTTAATGGGAATCTGACAAAATGTCCCCCGTTATATCGTGGTTCAACCACCGCATCTCCGCTATAGCTCAAATATTTTGTGAAGCGTATCTTACTTTTGTCGCCGCTATTTTGCAGAAACCTGGCGTTTATAGCAGGCTATTTTTGGGTTTTTACTGCATGCTTACTAACCTTCATGCCCTTGCAGGTGGGAAAGGAGAGCCACAGTCACCAGTCTAATTTTCAGCCCTTTATTGAGCACAGAGAGAACAGTAAAACACAAGTCACAGATCAAACCGGGAGTAGTCACACGCAGACTCGCCGATGTCACGCACCACTCACCAAGCCCCGCCTCTTAAAGGCCCATACTGTGTGTAACGGAATCTACAATAGCTACAGAGTTTTCTATACCTTTTTAATGCTTGTCTTTTTGGTCATGTTGGTTAAAGCCCATTTCTCAAATGTTCAGTTCCATATTTTAATACATTTTGCTCTTTCTCTCCCCCTCTTTTTCACAGTATAACTTTGTGGGTAGAATCCTCGGCCCGCGGGGACTCACGGCCAAACAGTTGGAAGCAGAAACGGGATGTAAAATCATGGTGCGAGGCAAGAGCTCCATGAGAGACAAAAAAAAGGTAAGCGCATGCTGGTGTGTTTTACCCCTCATTATTTTTTCATGGCGCACTCCCCCGGCGCATCCGAAACGACAGAAAAAAAACATTTTGATCTTGCATTAATTATTTTTCAGCGCGGGCGTTTGAGGTAGAGATTCCTTGAGGTATGACGCCATCATTTCAAAGTTTCCCCCGGTCTAGTCTCACACGAAAGCATCCTCGTCGACGTGTGGAAACTCGACACGGCGGCACCCGGATGCCTGATGGCTGGATGCTGACATGTGATCTGTTTGCAGAAAGGCTGTGCAGTGGAAAGTAAAAGAGGCAGTAGTAGTAAGGCAGGCAAGCAGGCAGACGGCCAAGGCCAGGGGCAGCCTCTATTTCTGGAGCCACCGAGCTGAGGTTGGAGGCATAAAAGGTTAATGCCATGTGTGTTTATGTCCTGACATGCCAGTGCTGGACGCAATTCTTCTCCCCCCCGCCCCCATTTTAAACCTCTACCTCATTATTCCGCAATCAGAATATGCGTTTCTAAAATTCATTTTTACAGCCATATTTAAATATCGTGACTGGAGATTGTGACTGAAGAAGCAAGTTCAGTTCAACCATCTTGACTTGTTTCTTGCGTGCACTTTTTACGTTGTAAAAAGCGTGGAGATGAAGAGCGAATGAAGACATTTCTCATGGCATGTTTGTTCCAAGCATCGTCCTCGTTTGTCATTGTCCTGTAAAACAGTTCCTACCTTGACTGACAAGTGACTTACGAGCTGTCACGTTTTTACTTTGTCTTGCGAGCAAAAATTCGACTCGCACTTGAGCTTCCGGTAATCCAAATATTAAATGGTGGCAGTGAACGTGACAAAAAAATACATCGTTATGAGTTGTCAGCAGTCGTTTATTGCCAGTAATATAAAGCTAAACTTAAATCAAAGAATTTGATTGTGTATTTCATTGTGTATTTCCCTCCATTTGCCCAAAACTAAGGAAAGTACTCAATCCACTCCCCCCTTGTACCAGAAGCAAATGGCCTGACAATATCTCACTATAAGCTGTGGCATCAGCATCATATCCATTTATTAAAAGGAGTGGTTGGAGGTATTTATGATGAAATATCTTTCCTCTGGGATAAGTAAATACCCTTCTATGATCCAACGCGACTATTCTCGACTTCTCCTCCATCTTATTTCTTTAGTCCGTAGCTGTCAGCCATGGGATGCTTTATTGTATTACATTTACATAAGGAAATGTATTTTATCCCCTTTCATTGTGGGAACACAACTTATCTGCACACACAAAGTCCACAGTTGCGTCGTTACACAAACAATTCATGCTTGCAGACGAGCACATTTTAGGCTGAGTCATAATCTTCGAAGCTCCCGGCAAGCATTATTTTTTTTTTTCTCGCCCCCCTCTCTCTCTCCCTTGTTCTTTTATTTTTATGGAAACCTCCCATTCTTATTTTAATTTCGCTCTCTGCGCTCATTTCCCTTGGAGTGTGTTCATTAGAAGAGGAGACAATAAGGGCACTCTGCTCTCCTCGTCACAATTAGATCCACGAGTAGTTTGAGAGGAGTGAACATGTTCTGGCGCGCACACAATTCCCAGTGCACGCCACATTCCTGGATCCCCGTCTTATCTAATTACACAAACTTTTTATTGCCCTTTGGCATGTTACTATTTTAGCTTATGGCATATGTGTATGGATTTCACAAATCACACTTTCCATCATATGCCTTGTGTAGGATTCTTGAAGAAATATGGCGGGTTCCAGCGCGACATTCACGGTAAAGAAAGAGTTTTATAGAAGGTGTAGATACAACTCTGCTGGGACCCTTTCGTCACCTTTTTACACTTCTCAATTACGGCACCGGTTTCAAGAGACAGTCTTCCATCTCAAGAAAAGCGACTGACCAGCCCTCAACCCGCTGATCCATCTTCGTTAGCGGATCTTGCAGATCATTTTCAACTTTGTACAGCACACGAGCTACACTGCAAGGCAATATCACAAAATTCCACACGCTCCTGCACTCTTACAATTCAAAAGAGCCCCATAGGAACTTGGAGTAGCGTGAATAGCAGAAAAAGGAGACTGGACAAAACTGTTGTCGTCACATCGTTATCGCACACATTCCACGTTTTTAGCGTTAGCCTCACCTCTCGTTTCACCGTTGATTGTAACAGGAGCCGATCACTTTGTGTGATCTGCATGTCATGGGTATGAACGTGATGTGATTTATTTTCGTATAACTGGTGAAGATGGGCTTTCCAGTAGCTAGTTAGTCAATGTATGATGACTGTATTTTCTCAAGAACACAGTGGGCCCTCAGTTTAGGATCTTGAGTTCAGAGTTTTGTATTTATGACCCAGATATGTTTTTCATCGAAAATATGAACTGCAATGATCTTCTCCTGCAACGGCGTAGGTGAGTGATAAACTTGAACGTGTTTTTGAATCACTTCCGGCGTAGGATTAGAACTCTTGTCTTCACGGAGACCCGCAAGACGTCTCGTTCTGTCTCCCCCATGTTTGTTTGTTGTTGTCCTCTGAACGGGTTGTAACTGGGAAGTAAATTCCTTGTGTGTTTCTTGCATACATGGCCAATTAATCTTATTCTGATTCTGAAACCAAGGATGAGCAAATTGACCTTCAATGGTGAACTATTTATTGCACTTAAAGCCAACATAACCAAATTAATAACCGATTTCCACGAATCACTGACCATCGATTATCCTTCAATCACTACATCCTGATATCATTTTATCGGAATTCTATCGTTCCGTAAATTATTCCGTGATTCTGATTGTCCACATTTTTTGAATAGGCAATCTTGGCTGTTCCAGAGAGATTGTTTTGTCCTTGCGCCGAGAATGGCATGAACAATCTGACAGAGGCCTGCCAGATCTTAATTTCATCCATTTTTCTCAGAGTGTTTTTTTTTTGTCGGTAAAGCCACAAGAGTCTTTGAAGGTGTTGCATAATTACGGCTCAGTCTCCGACGAAACCACGGCCCCCGGTTGCCTCTTTTATCCGTATCCTCAACCCTCCGTATTCTTTGCTACGTGCCCCGTGGCGGCCCAGGAAGCCACGGCAACAGCTTTAGCCGGCGTGTTTATTCAGGATCCATTAGCGGCAGCATTTTTATGCTCTCAATAATTCAGCTGGTTGCTCCTGGGCCGCGCCGGCTGACGGCGAGCGGGTTCACTGAAGCCTTCATGGCCGTGTGAGAGAGCGACAGAGTGGCTGAGTGAATCACGGTCCAGTGGAGAACAATGGCGAGAGATGGAAAAGCAGCTCGGCTAGAAAATAGGTAAGAAGAATGAAGGTGAAGGGCGAAATGCAGTTATGTGTACGAGTGCGTTTGCTGCGATTGCTCCCC